AGCAGGAGAAAAAATTCAAGGATGACCCCCATTTGTTGGAGTCATATAAGGCCTTTACGGCTGAGTACTTAGCTCTTGGTCACACGCGTGAGATATCGAATTTGAGCCTTGTGAAGTGCTTCCTTTCTCATCATGGAGTCTTGAGAGCCAACAGCTCCTCGCTGAAGCTGCGAGTCATCTTCAATGGCTCTGCTGGGAGATAAGACGGGTTGTCTTGGAACTCCCTACTCCACGTAGGCCCAAATTTCCTCATGACCCTCTTCGAATTAATTCTCAGGTGGCAGTTTTACAGGTTCGTCTTTACCACCGACGTGGAGAAGATGTTTTGACAGATTCTAGTCCATGAAGACAATCAAGCCTTCTAAGCGATCGTCTGGAGGCACGACGTTTCTTCTCTGATCAAGACTTACTTTCTGACTACTGTTACTTACGGTCTCGCGTGCGTCTTCTTTTTAGCGACTCATGTCTTACGCCAACTTGCCTCCGAACATGCTGAATCGCACCCCCGGGCCTTTAATATTCTACGCGAGAAATTCTACGTTGATGACTGCTTGTCTGGCGGTCACTCGGCAGAGGAGATATTAGAAAAATGCGGGGAGCTTGTGGATTTGGCGCGATTAGGTGGGTTCCCTCTGCACAAATGGTCTTCTAATTTGCCGCAGGCTTTAGTTAGTATCTCTCCTGATCTTCGCGTCGATCAATCAAAGACCCTGCAGGAATGTGTAGAGACCGTTCCTCTGCTTGGACTATCTTGGGACCCCAAAACCGATGAATTTACATTCATGTTCACTATTGATAAGTCCACTAATTTCTGGACAAAAAAAAAATTATTTGCTCAAACGGCTAGGTTCTTCCATCCTTCGGGCTGGTTCTCACCGACGGTTAAAGTCCCTAATATGTTGCTTCAGTCCCTGCGGCTGACTAGGATTTCATGGGACGACCCCCTTCCACCATCAGTGGTCGAGACTTAGGTGAAGTGGCTGGGCGAGGTTCCAAAACTGAATGAAGTAAGGATTCCCCGATGGATTTTTTACTCCCCTGGTGTACAACATGATATTCATGGGTTTGCATGTTGTTGACGATCACGTTCATATGAATCTTCAAGTAACCAAGACCCGGGTCGCACCCTTAAAGGTGCTTAGCATCCCGTGACTTGAGCTATGCGCAACTTATTTACTGTCTAAAATCGTCAGACATTTTATTGACTATGGCCTTCGTGAGGAAACGCTAGTCCACTTGTGGACAGACTCTCTTAACGTTCTCCACTGGCTCAATGCCCCACCTTCAAAGTGGCCGGTTTTCGTTGCAAATAGGTGCTTCGAAATCCACAGTCTAGCTCCGGGCGTAAAATGGTTCCTCATTTCTTCAAAGCAGATTCCAGCAGACTTGGTTTCTCGAGGCATTTTGCCAGGTCAGCTTTCTGCCAAGCGGTTATGGTTCCACGGTCCCGACGTCCTACATTTGTCTAGCTCTCAATACTCAGACCTGAAGGTTGAAGTCACTGATTCAAATCCAGTGTTCAACCTCGCTACTAGTTGCTTGGAGACGGAGTCTGACTCCTTCAGTCGCATCCTCTTTTGTCGTTGCTCGAGTTGGCCTAGGCTGGTACGAGCACTGGCTAATGTGTTGCGTTTCGCTTATTGGTGTCTCGGTAGACTGAGAAGACCCCCATTAGACTCCCCCGGACCGAATGACCGGTTTCCTTATCTGGGCTTCATTCACAGTGAAGTTTTCGTGCAACCTGCTTCTCTGAGCTTGACCACCGCAGAGGTAGAGGCAGCCACTTTGTTTATGGTACATGATCATCAACAGCGTTGTTTTGCATCGGACCTTGCCGTTATTAACCACAACTTGACCCTTTCCATTGATCAACATAAGCCTCCACCTGCCTCGAGTCGATTGCGCAAGTTGGCTCCCTTTCTGTCTGACGGATTGTTGCGAGTAGGAGGCAGGTGAAATAACGCTCTGCTAGACTTTGACGTCAAATATCGATTGATACTGTTTGGCAAAGATAGCCTCTCCCTGTTACTTATCGACCACTACCACCGCCTCTCTCTTCATGGTGGCACTCAAATGACGTTGGCGGCTCTTCGTCGAAAGTACTGGGTTATAAATGGTCGCCAGCTGGTACGTTCCGAGCTGACTCATTGCTTGATCTGTCGCCGTTACGCTGCTCGACCTCAGACACAGATGATGGCTGATCTACCGATTGTCAGGGTGAGTCCCTCCCCTGCATTTCAAAGAGCTGGTGTGGATTACGCTGGGCCTTTTCCCGTACGTCTTACAAAGTGCCGAGGTAGAGGCACACTTAAAGATTCCGTTGCCTTGTTTATTTGCATTGTCACCAGAGCCGTGCATTTAGAGATCGTGGAGGATTATACTATCGGCTTCTTTATAACGGCTTACCAACGTTTCACGTCTCGTCGCGGTTGTTGCTCCGACCTGCATAGTGATCAGGGTACCAATTTTGTACGAGTAGATCTCGAGCTGAAAAGAATGCTAGTGAATCGACACAAAAATGAATCCTTTGCAGATTCTCTCTGTACCTTTGGGACACAATGGCTCTTTAATCCTCCATCAGCACCTCACTTTGGAGGTTTATGGGAAGCCGCTGTTGAGTCGACTAAATTCCATCTTAAAAGAGTAGTCGGAGAACAGATTCTTACCTTCATCGAATTTTCCACATTGTTATGCAGGATCGAGTCCTGCCTGAACTCGAGACCCTTGGCTCCCTTAACCGACGACTCCGAGGATTTGAATCCTCTCACCCGTTCTCATTTTTTAATTTTTAAACTATCGTATTCGATCCCAGAGCCAGACTTTGCCTCTAAAAAGTTGTCGCCATTGCACAGGTAGAAGCTCCTGTCTCAAACCGTGCAGTGCTTTTGGCGCAGGTGTTCAGCGGAGTATCTTAGTTCGCTTTAAACTCGTGGCAAATGGGTCTCTCCTCGACAACCAATGCAAGTAGGGGACCTCGTCTTAATAAAAAATGAGTTCACTCCCCCAGTAAGTGGCCACTTGCTAGAGTTCAAGAAATCTTTACAGACCCTAAAGCGCTAGTGCGAGTCGTAAGTGTTGAGACTCAGGACACTTCTTTGATTAGACCTATCCATAAACTGATTTTACTACGCACCGTCTCCGAGATCAAATCAATCGGCACTCGTTAAATTACTAAAATGTTGAATCATATTAGCTCCTGAAGAGGTTGTAGCGCACTTACGGTTCTACCTGACCGCGCCTTTCTTTAATTAGTTGATAAGAATAACTTCTGCTTCTTTAATTCAATAAAACCAAATGTTCTCCCTAGATTTTCTACGAATTTTTTTTTAATAAAATAAAGTGTATCAAGTAGTTTATCTTTACTGTAAGTAAAAAGCGTTCCTCGTTTAGTTCTAAACATGCATTCTTTCTTGATATCCATTCGTACTGACTGCTGTCTATCAACCTGGGGAACATGTACATCATCAAGCTTTCCTGTCGGTAAACTTAATGTTTAACAGTAACTACGCAGCAAATGATTATGATTATCGTTTGTATGTACGCGCGCTGGCAACAACTATTATTATATCCAATAGTGGGCGACATATGGCCCTGCGCGGCCGCCAATCACTGCGCTTGTCGCTCGCTACCACTTGACTCGTTTTGCGTGCGGTCTTCTCGCCCATTCCCTTCCGTGCAACGTTGGTACAAGCAAGTCGCTCTGCACGACTTCAAGTTACACTGCGTTATATTTTTACTACCTTGTTCATTCTCGTTATATATTCAACCACTGTGTAATTATTTCTTTGATTCTGTGACTCTTTTTCTTAGACATGAAAGATTTACAAGCAGTTAAATACAAGTGAGTTATGGTCACAAGCGATATAAGAAGGCTTAGTGCGTATTTAACCAGTGCTGTATCAAAAGTATTACCTTAAGTTAGTCGATTGTACTTTGCTGAGCACATCAACTTTTTCAGGACCATTAACAGGCAAGTGGTTTGAAGAGGTGCCTCAAGTACATCTTAATATCTGTATTGGTGTAAAAAGATTTGTTTAAGAGTTTCTTAGGTGTGTGACGAACCTTCTTAAACTACTTTTTAATGCTATTCAAAAGAATTTTATGTACAGAAAAATATCGATCAACTGAACAGTAACGTTAACTAGTGAAACAAGTACGTTATTCTGAAAGTTATAAAATTAATATTAGAGTAACTGTAAAGTCAAGCAACGGTATACTATAAAAAATTAACATGAGATTTTGCTCTTTGATCTTTCTTTATGAATAATAACTGCTTATCTCACATATTCTATTCAAAATTCTTGAAAAAATTCTTAGATTTTACAATGTTTAGAAGTATTGTAACAATAATTTACTAACCTTATTCAAAATCTTGTATCAGCCTCAACCCATCATACTTTTTTTTACTATCCTAATTTAGCTTTTTACCAGAGTATAAAATTTACTGATTTTTAACGTACAAAATTAACATAAAACATTTTTTTTATATATATATTTACTGGGTATGTACTTATTCATCTATAGAAATACACGAACGAAAACTCGCAGAATAAGTGAGCATTTGTTTTATGATTAAATTTGGAAAAAGCGTGCCATATCACCTTTTTTCCCCCAACATTTACTCAAAGTTATTTTAATTTATTGATCTTTAAAGTACATTTTACGTGTATACTATAATTTTTTACTTAATTTTCTTTTAGCGCTTTTAAGATCACTTATTAATTCTTAAAGTAAGTGAAAATATATTAATATATTAATAAAAACTTATCTTTTTGTTAATAGAATACATATATTAACATTTAGTAAAATTCTTGAAAAATCATATATTTTGAATCCTTGTTAAGTCAAGGTATTCTGTACAAAATGATATTAATTTAAAAACTTGGTCTAAAAACATATAAGATAATTATTTTAAAAAAAATTAAAGCTGTACTTAAAAACTCAAAAACTTTAAAATTAGAAATTTTATGTTTATATTTTGCTTCTTATTTGTTGGATAGGATCATCTGGCTTGAGCACAATATCATGGGATCACTTTTTCAATTCGTTAAGTCGTTATCACTACAGCTTACGGCAAGAGCTACCGCCAATGCAAGATACCGTGTACCGACAGCGGACTCATTCAAAAGGTATAACACCTAGCGAAGTTCAAGGATTAGAAGCGGTATTACAGGTAGTACAGGTAATTGCTAACAATGACGAGTTATCAAGGATCGCTTTTTGCGAACATCCTGGTTGGAAAGTTCTGCAGTCAATAGTTGGTCTGGTAGGCTGTGCCATGCCAAACTCATTTAAAGGTGTGTTAGTACATACATTAGCAGCTCTGGCTAGGTCGCCAGAAAGTTCTCGAAATATATGGGAGAATATTGAAGCAGCCCAACTAATAACAACGGTACCGACAACAAGCAATTACAGTTTACGAGGAGTGCAGACTGAACTTGAGGAAATTGAATCTAGGAATGAAGAGTACCCATTGACAAGAGCCATGCTTCAACTTCTTAACGTTCTCACGGATTTCCCGCTGCCTCGTCTGCTCGGTCTTGGACAGCGCAGTCCTGGCTTCGACCCATATCTTCATTTTGTGATTAATAGTGTTCTTCTGCGCTTTGATACGCGCTCCTATCGAAATCCAGCTGAAAAGTGGCAAGTTGCAAATGCTTGTCTCCACATTTTGCTCAAACTAGCGAACCAGTATGAACCAGCTCCTGAGAATTTACTTGGTTGTAAGCTTGAGCATCAAACGGGTGAGATGGGCGTAATTAACGCACCACCAGGCTACCACATAATGACTCAACTGCATTCATGCTCGGAGCTGTTGCATACACTGTTACATATTCTTGATAAAGGCTGTGCACTTTTAGACACCTATGACACTTTTTTTGGTAAGCAAGATCTTGAAGCTGTAACTCTAAGCTGTTTAGAACTATTAGAACTTGGACTACGAGTCCAGCACCAATATATGGCACAATTATCACTACTTTCAAGTTCAGTGTCCCAGAAAGTACCTACAATGGCAGTGACGACCACTGCTTCTTCTTCTACATCATCTGCAACAGTGACAATCGCAGCAACGGACATGTTTACAGTTACCCCTTCTGTGGCTACTGTGAATAGCAGTATCTGTAGGAGTAATAACAGGCCTCTTGTAGCTGGCTTATCACGCCTTTTACTTGGTATTAATCCACGTTCTGGCAAGCCTGACCACATGGTCAACATAGCTAAGTATATTCTGTATGCCAACTCGCTATGCTGGCATGCTCGCATTGCTGTCGGGGTGATCCAAGCCGTGGCAAGCGAGCCGGGTGCTGATGCTGAGCTTTTGTCCACCTTTACTGCAACACCTGGTCTTGCAACTAATATTAGGCATGGTTTTGTTGAATGCTTAGATACACCTGAAAATATTATAATCAACAACTGTACAGCTGCAATCGAGGATCACCTACAACAGCAGCAGCAGCACTGCAAAGACAGAATCTTGCAACTATTGATGCAGAGTATTAGTCGGCCTAGCCCGAATCTTGCCCACTACCTTTTAGGTTTTGATATAGCAAGAGGCATTAAAAAAACAGTCATTCAACAACCAGGTATACTTGGTTATCCCCGAACTTGTCTGCATTCGATCCTTGGACTCTTAGAGCTCTCGCTTCAAGATGGAATTAGGGATAGGACAACTGAAGCCTGCTACTGTTTTTTACACAGCCTTCTTTCAAATAGCAAGACGTCAATGCCTGTATTGCGCTTTCTTCGTACAGTCACAAACCAAGACTTTGTTCAACGCCATTTGTCTAAACTACCATTTCAGGGTTCAAATCAAACAAGTGATCTTATATGTACTTCTTGGCTACTAAAAATAGTTGCGATAGAGTTGCGTGTTGGCAGCAGCAGTCTTCAAAATGCTCTTATTCAAAGACTTGTTGGTAAATGAATACTTTGTTTCACTCTTTTTTTTGTTGTTGTTCTGTTAAATATGTTTTTAAATCTTATTTTAATCAGGTCACCCACGCCAAGATAGAGATAAGCTCATGTCACCACAGAAGCTGCTTATGGATCTGTTGCATTACATAGATTTTAAGCTACAATTAGAGTCTCCAACATCTTGGGAATATTTTGATCCAGCACAGGTAGAAATGGTGTTAACCAGGTGTTATACTCCACCAGCACTGCCAAGTGGGCCCCAATTAATTGACGTTAAAAAATTACATTTATTAATAATAAACGAGCTTTCCGAAACTCAAGGTAGTTCTAGTACATCTCAGAGAAAACTTATGCAGCAAGAGTTGCAATCCGTTCTTAAATACGCCTTAAGAAAAAATCAGATAAGATCCTTGTTGTATGCTACCGTAAAGTTTGTTGAGGGCTGGTGTCAGGCAACCGAGATTCTATTTTCTATTGCTACCCAGCAACAGCTAACCGCAGTTCAACGTCAAAATGTTTTGCTTAATCTGACACATGACCTTCTTCACAAAATGACGTCGTGTGAGGCACTTGGAGAAATAAAAAATCTGGTCTCAGGTACACTGCTGATACTTCTGGTGAACTTGCGGCTTAGTTTTGAACTTCAATCGTCTGATAGTGTTGAATTCGATCAGTTAAAACCCTCAGCTCCAGCTAACACGACTATGATGAAGATTATTTTAAGTCAAATCATCCAATGGATACTTAACTCGGAAGCATCCTCGCAAAAGGTTCGTACTCACTTGCTCGGAGCCTTACTTTACTTCCTTTGTATTGTTGGAGGTAGTAGTTCCATTGAGGCAATGGTTCCTGAATCAAGGAGCTTTGTGAGCCAATTGGACAATGGGAACTGGACCAATCGTTATATCGTGCCAGATGATAGCAGCCCTAGAAATGATATTACTAACAAATGTACTATTAGTGATAACAAAATTCTTTTGTCTGCGGCACATGGGCATCCTAACAGACACGTGACTATCCAAGTAATTAATAGCTTTGGCGATAAGTTTATAGATGTTTTATGCCACAGTTGCTCTGGGGGTCACGACGTTTGCAAAATGCTTGCTCTCTCATGCCTCAACAAGATTCTTCAATTAGATAGCTGGTGTGACAACTCGTGGCTTATTTACTTGTCTAGCCGTGGTTACCTTCGGCACATGATCGACGGCTTGCTTCAGTCAGATAAGCAACTTTGCTGCATGCTTCAATCTGAGCCAGCAAGTGTAAGACCGCTCTACTTCTACGAAGCGAAGATGGCCATGTTTTGCCAGCTAGCTGCAACAAGACTTGGAGCTGAGTGCCTCCTCGAAAATAAAATTCTCTCATGTCTAGCAAGTATGAACGTAATCGAACAACACCCTGACGTACATGAAGCCACTGGCTTTGGTGAAAATGAGCAAGCTGATTTTCTGCCGAGTCTCGCTTGCCGATACCAACAAATATTTTTGCCCATGCTGTACCTATGCGACGCCCTGCTCACTACTCTTGGCACAGATAATCAATCATGTTCTGTTCAAATCTGTGGTTTTCTGCAAAAACATCGAGAGATAGTTGATGTGATTTTAAGAAATGTATCACCTAGTTCTAGTAAATTATTTTTATACCAGGTTGCCTGTTTGACTGGCGTCATAGCTCGATCCGCTACCATAGGTAAGACTCTTGTTAGTTTACACTACATATTACAATAACAAATATTATAAATGTAGAAATAAATCCTTCTTGACATTCTTAATTCTTGCTATTATTAATACAAACTAAACTTCAACGGTTTTTCTAACGCAACAAATACCCGAATACTATGATATTTATTCCGCAACTGTTATTATATTAAAAAATTGATTAGTTATAGTACACGTACAAATAAGTGTGATTATTAGTATTAACGGGTTCAATGTCATAAAGTACAATATTATCGGCTTCTTCATGAATAGAGGAGCAGATGACCCCCCAAAAAGTGGCTTAGAAAATTAAAAACCGACCAACCTCGTTCTAGTCACTAAAAATACTTGGCCATTATATTTTCGAGGGCGCTAAACACAAATTTAATACTTATTTTTGTCAAAATTTGGGGATCCATGGTCTAATTGATTTTCTAGTAAAAATGCGAGAAAAAAAGTATTTCTCAGTTTTTGCAGTTAAACTTAATAGAGCTCAGCGATAAATAAATATTTTTTCTTAAAAACTTTTTCTGGACCTATTTAGTTGTTCTAAGAAATGGTTCAAAAGAATGCCATTAAATTTTCAATGAAAAATATTCATTCTTTGCTGAGTAGTTCTATCAAGTTAAACTGTAAAAATCAAGACAATAAATAAAAAACTTTCTCATACTTTCATTTTATAAATGAGTTTTCACTATGAAGCCCCAACTTTGGATAAAAATTAATGTGGTATTCGTATTCAAAATCCTAAAAAATATGCAGATCAAGTATTTTTATCGACTAAAATAAGGATGGTAAGTACTTGGAAAAAATTAAGAGCTTGTCTATAAAGCATCTATTATGGAAAATAGGGCGCAACAATTGTTACCATCAGAATTCCATTTTTAAGCATATATATTTATGCTTACTTACACCAACGTATATTAATGTACCTTTTCCTTTCATAAGTATCGCAGTACGTTTTTCTTGTTGAAAATGTTATGTTTTTTTATTTTCTATCACAAAAACCCCGAAAAGATACCATAAAATTAATGTTAATTTTTGAAAAAAAAAGACTATTTTCCAGGGTCAATGTAATTCAAATTAAGGGTATATGTTCCAATTATAGCCCCTATGAAACTTTATAGGTTTTATTCAATTTTATACCATATCCTCAATAAGTAAGACAAAGATAATTTTAACTTCTTTTTACAAAATACTTGTTTTCAATACAAAAAAACTTTTTTTCTGAAGTTAGACTTCTATAGTCGCGTTCTGCGCTACAGAATAAACCAACGATTTCAGAATTGTGACCTTAAGAAAATATGTAATAGAAATAAATGTTTTATTTTACTTCCTCCTGCCACACCGTACTATGTCTTAGTACACTATGGCACTCCACGACAGCCGTATGTAAAAACAGTAAATTTTAATTTCTATGAAAATCGAACCGTCGACCTCCTGCATGCTAGCCAAGTATTCTACGAGCTGTCACGGTAATTAAAAATCTCTTCTTTTTATACTGTGGTTTGTAACTTTTTTTAAATTTAAATATTTATTTACTATTTGTGAATTCCATTCATTTAATTATAAATTATTTTTTACTTGAATAATTTTTGTAAACCTGATAAAGTTTTTTATTAGCAACAGTTATTTTATACATATACATGTATATATTTTTATATGTTAATTTAATTAAAGGTTTCATTTTTAATTTTTAAATTAATAATTGCTTACTCAATTTTCTCAAAGTTCTTTTTTTTCATTTTTGGTTTATTTACACACGATTCTATGAATAAATAATTACGTTTTCATTGTGTGTTGTTCTTCAAATTTTTTTTTATTCGTATATAAGTCGATTTTTTGAGTTAAGATACTTTCATCGGCATGGTATACTGCTCAATTGAAGTTGAAACGGTGATACAGGATCTTTGTTCTTAGCCTTTTAGATATAGATTGTAAGTTTTATATACGCTACTAAGAATGAGTGTGAACGTATGTGACAGATGCGAGTGTGATGTTGGAGATGTAATTAGCGTACGCTGTAGGAAATTGTTTTGTAATAATTGAATGATTGAATGAAAGCGCACAGTTTTTAACAGCCCATTCCCGCAGTGGATTATTTAAAATAATTTTTCACAAGAGATATTTTTCCATTTGTATAATGTCTGCCGTATAAGTATAACCTTATACTTTAGTACCAAAGTACCCGCTGAGCATTAGTTTCTTTTTGTCACAGTAACAAAATAAGAACAAAAAATTTTGTTCATACAATGGACCCTTCCAAAGAACTAAGAACCTATCCCCCCACCCATTAAGGACTGGTTTCTAAATAGTGTTTCTGTACTTAAGATTCTCTTATTAAAGCAGGCTGGATACATCTTATTAAATACACAACTTGGCACAAATTAATTTTTGCTGATAAACTTTAAATAAAATAGACTTAGTGATGAACATTGTTATTTATAACAAAAAATTTCATACTAATGGTTAATCTATCAGGACTTTTCAGATTTTTTCATTTCTTTATAAGACGTAATTTTTGTGATTTCTGTCTCTCTCTCTCTCTCTCTATATATATATATATCTCTCTTTTTTAAATGCTTTTTCTCTTTGAATTTCTTTCACTTTTTAATTTTTTATCCTGGTTTTTTTCCGTAGCTATTTTTTATTTCTTTTTCTAAATTTTTTTTTTCATATTTTCCAGTTCCTAAAACCACTCTAATCCTTCTTTCAAAGAAATTATTGATGGACACTTTAGTTGGACGATTCTTTTTTTCATTGGGTTAGCCTGCTCCAATGGCCAAAACAAATAATTTTCTTATCATTACTAAAACTAGAAATTTAAGATTAATTTTCATTTGATACAACTAATGTATAATTTGCTGCACCAACAAATAATTTGTTATTCTAATAAACTACAATGTAACTTATTTTATCGATAGATGATTGCTTATATAAATCAGGTATTGTGACACTATTTTTATCGATAAGTAAGAGCTTATTTGGATAAGGAACTGTAGCAGTTGTTCCATTAACGACTCGTTGCTTATTTAGGTAAGAAATTCCATTATTGCGGTCGTTTTTATCAGAAACTTGTTCCATTGACGACTGGTTGCTTATTTGGATGAAGTACAGCAGAACTTGTTTCATTGATAAGTAAAAGCTCATTTGGATAAGGAATAGCAGCACTTATTTAATTGATGAGGGATGGTATATTTTGATTAGTAACTGCATAACTGGTTTCTTCAATCATGTTGCAAGCGTTCCCATTGTTATTGACTTAAAAACTTACTGTTTCAAGTAAGTTTAGTGGTAGTATTTGAGAGTTGCTAATTGAATTGTATTTAATAGACTGCAGATTTGTTTTAGCCTGCTAGATAAATAAATGTTTGTTTACTTTAAGTGAGCTATAAGTTGGAGTATTAGGTTTTATTTATTACAAATAACTCACCTTAGTTTAAGTAAATGTCCTAGCTGTAGCGTTTAAATCAGATTTATCACAACGAATTAATAGTATATCCCTCGTTTTTGTCTTTTGTAGGGCCTAATTACTCACTTCTACTCTGTGCGTGATTTCTAAATAACTCAAATGTATCTAGACTGATTGACTTTTCTACTAAATCTATGTGGATTGATGAAACTGAATTGCTTGATTTTTAATTATTAATCTAACCTTTACATGCATGAGTCTGCTGGGCAAAATAGTTGTAAGTCACAAACTTTGAAGGTGATACTTATAATAATTTGTAAATTTATTTTGAAAATACTTGGCTTAGTAGCATAGCTACATTATTCTTGGGTAGAATATGTGCATTGTTTTTAATTCTATAATTATTTACTGATTTTTTCAATAACTTCCAAATGGAGGTAAAAGCCAACATCCATTGGTTGTGTGACGTAAGTTGTGTTTTGTAAAAGTTCAATAAGAATTATTCTATAATTGTTACAGAAAGTACTAAATGTATGAGTTGTGTGTGGAGTATGGCCATCAATACAAAATAAAACTAGTAGTATATGAATAGGTACTTTCTAATACTTAAAAATAATTAGTGTAGGACCGATTATTTCAGCAGCATTGAATTGACTAGTAGAGTAAGATTTTCTGGCGTAGTAAGCAGATAGGAACACTGTGTAACTATTTTTTTTTGAAGGGGCATTCCAGTGACATCATTTGAAATATCTAATTCATGAGACGTTTCTCTTCCTTAAGTGTTAATACAGATAAAATCCCAAGCTGCGGTTAAGCGTGCGGATTTTTCATTCTATTATGTACTGCCGGTTGTGGAACATCAATAGCTTTGTATTTTAAAGGTTTTTCGTCATGCTTTATAGCTACAGCTTTTTTCAAGTTATTACTATCGTAACTTCATCACTTTTTTGAATTTTTACTTATACAGAAAGTTGCTTTTGTAAACAACACTGTCGTGATCGAAACCATAAGTAGGCTAGAGGTTACAGTTACATTAAAGAATTCGCTCCAAAAATTACTGCACGCACATGCTCAAAGTTGACTCTCCGAAAGTAGAGAAACATATCTTTTTGCATGATAGTGAACAAAAATTCAAGCGTACTGATTATATTGCTGTTGATTAATACTTATTATAGTGTTGATGATAACATTCTGAGAACAAGAAAACTTAGTGATTCTCAACATTTTTTCACTTTTTAAATCAGTAAGTTTAAGAACAATAACTTATAAAATCATACTTTTAGTTTCCTAGTTAGAAGTCAGAACATGAATATTACAGAACTCTAACTGACCGATGACTACGCACTTTCGTCTGCCAAATAAGTACTATAGAGTTTGGCGCGAATCACGGTAGAGAGCGCATCGTGGCTCACAAAGATAGGGTAGTATGTAAATAAAAAGGGAGAAATAAAGAAATAATAAGGCAAAAGAAGCCCGTAAATAGAAAGAAGCACAAGAAGGAAGAGAAATTTCAGGTGGGAAGCAAAAGAAAGTAAAAAGTGGACAAGCAAGGGAACAGTTGGTAATCTTAACCTCAAACG